TAGAAAATATGATATATTTTACACACCCAACAAAACATGTTCAAGGTATAGACACAGAAAATTGAGCTTAACATTATGAGTCACTAAAGAAATACAAATTAAAACCATAAGCCACCACTACACACACTCTAGAATGTCTATAATCAAGCAGAAAGATAATGACAAGTGTGATAAGGATGTGGAGGAACTGAAACAATCATAAATCGCTAGTATGAATGAAGAAATGGTATAAACATGTTGGAAAACCATTTGGCAGCTTCTTAAAAAAACAAACATAAGCTTACGAAGTAGGTCACCAATTACACTCTTAAGAATCTATACAGGGAAAATAAAAGCATATGACTACACAAAGACCATATGAATGTTCAAAGCAGCATTTTTATTAATAGCCAAAACCTAGAAACAATCTCAATGTCCATCAACTTTTAAATGCACAAAAAAAAGTAGTATATTCATATAATGCTATACCATTCATTAAATCTAAAAACTAAAATCACCAAATTAACAAAGTAAAACTGAAACTCCTTATGATTATTTAAATTGATGCAGAAAAAGCATTAGACATAAACAAACACCTATTCCTAATAAAAATGCTCAAGGAAATAGGAATAGAAGGCAATTTACTCACTTAATGAAGGAAACTAGGAAAAACCTATATCATATTTAATGATGAAACACTGAAAGCTTTCCCTCTACGATCAGGAACAAGAAAGAATAAACATCTGTAGGCTCACCACATCTTTTCAACATAGTATTGGCGATGCTAGCCATTGCAACAAGGCAAGAAAAAGAAAGAAAAGGCATCCAGATAGGAAAGGAAAAAAATCTAACTACCATTATTTGCAGAAAACATTATTATCTATTTATAAATTCTGAAATAATCTACAAAAAAGGTACTAGGACAAAAATATGAATTTAGCAAACCAACAGGACACAAAATCAATATAAAAATCAGTTATTATACATATGAGAAGCAGTCAAAAATGAAATATCTATAAACTACCATTAACAAGAACATAAAAATATAAAATGGGTAGGGATAAATCTGACCAAAATGTGACTAACCCTTATAGTTAGAATTATAAAATATTACTGACATAAAAAATAATTAAGAAAAAAATTTAAAAGATATGCTATGTTCATGGGTCAAAAGATTCATTATACTTAAGAT